GCAATGAAAATCGTTTTCTATCTCTCTTTTTTATAGAATATGGTTGAAAAACACACAGTCCACCTTATCATAAGTGGATGCCGTGACTCATAGACATCTACATTTATCTACGATTAAGAATTAAAATGCAGCTATGCGAATGAGAATTCGTTTCCAGTAAAAAGGGTCTCCGGTTCTCTAACCTCACCATACGAAACACAGTTGCATTAAGCTGCTATTTTAAGCTGGTATTCTGTGAGAGATCTATTAATGACCTCCAGACCGAATTTCGTAACGGCGCGGCGAACAGTCTTAACGGATACTAGCCATCGGGATAGGATATACAGGGTGGCCCAAAAGTCGTGGATCAAACGCAACTAGGGGTTAGATGGGGTCATCAGCTGCAAAAAGTTGTTCTACGGGAGGTCCTTAAAGTGAACCCCTGCAGAGTTATAATTTATTTTGTGTTTTTACGAGAAAATTGACTTTTTTTAACTAATTCTTATTAGAATGCCAAAAAATAAACACCCTCTATCTTTTTTATAATTTTCACTAGATTGGTACTGATGAGTCCTTGCGTTAGACATGCTATTTATGGTTGTTTATTGGGTGTGTTGAAGATAATGTTAAGTTTTACGATTATTATTTTTCTCAAATCATAACTTTTTATTTACTTCGGACCCCACTGTGAAAAAAAATACTCTACCGAAAAGTGACCCTGTATTACAAGTTTTGGCGCATTTAATAGGGATTCTGAAAAGGTATTACACATGGTTATGCGTGGCTTTGATATCTTTTTAGGACGATTATTCATGGCAAGGCCAAAGTTAACCCAACCATAAAACTCGGTTAGGCTTATTTAAAAATAAACTAGAATTAATACAATTAATGACAAAGACTCTCTGCCTCTCTTTTACACTAACTATTTAATCCTTTGTCAGTAAAAGGCCGGTTGGCCCGTCAGTTCAGGTAGCGATATCTTTTCTAGGAAACAAAAGGCTGGGCCGGCAGGGGCGGGGGCTGGGGGATGCGCGTGAGCATGTTTCTTTAGAATGTTTAGTGTTCTTTAGTAACTTGCTTCCTGCCTGTGGGTACGCACGTGTTCTTTTTCTCGGTTTTACGACGACTTGTGACCAGTTTCTTTCCTTTGACCTACGCTTTGTTTTTCGGACTTGTGATAGATTGCCTACCTGTGACCAGTGCTGTGTGAATCGGACGGATTGGCTACAAAAGTGGACAGATGGCTGCTGCGAGGAGAGAATACACCCAACGGGAGTATGCAGAAATGCATTACCTGTATGGCTTTTGCGACGGTAATGCCCGGGCTGCTGCCAGGGAATATCGTCAACGCTGCCCTAACCATGATCGTTTTCCGGATTACAGGGTCTTTATGCGCGTACATAATTCGTACATGGAGGGAGTCTTACCCGGTCAGCATGCTATGAGAGCAGGCAGACCAGTGATGCAATTTGAAAATGAAGATGAAGTGCTAAGAGAATTAAGATTGGATCCTAGTATAAGTCAACGCCAAATATCCAGTAATATCGGGATTCCAAGATCGACGGTGCAACGTGTCATTAACAGAAAAAAATATCACGCCTACCACGTGCAAAGGGTGCAAGCTTTGCTGCCCGGTGACTATGAACCTAGAGTGCGGTTTTGTAGAGAGATGCTAAGATATCACAGAGAAGATCCGCAGTTCTTTAACAAGGTTTTATGGACGGATGAGTCAACTTTTAGAAGAATGGGAGTATTCAATATCCACAATCTACATTTTTACTCCAGAGTAAACCCCCATATCATAAGAAATGATCGATTCCAGAATCTGTTTGGTATTAACATGTGGGCTGGTATAATTGGCCAGCAGTTGGTGCTGCATGAAATGCCAGCAAGGCTGAATGGTGCTCAGTATTTAAATTTTTTGCAAAATAATTTAAACCATATTCTTAACGAAGCTGAAGTTCCAGAAGAAAGAATAGCAGAAATGTGGCTGCAACATGATGGCGCCCCCGCTTCACTACGCTCGAGCAGTCAGAGATCATTTGAACGAGCGCTTCCCCAACCGGTGGATTGGTCGAGGCGGACATGTTGCGTGGCCACCCCGGTCGCCCGATTTAAATCCATTAGATTTTTTTCTTTGGGGCTATTTTAAAGAAATAGTTTACCAAGGAGAGAACAATAGCGAACAAGAACTACGACAAAAGCTCGAGTTTGCTAGAGTACAAGTAACTAACAACAGAAGTGCATTCCGTAGGTTACGTAGAAATTTTATTAGACGGTGCAGATTATGTATTATGGTCAGAGGCAGGAATTTTGAGCATTTATTGTAAAATGTTTTGCTTAATAAAACAATTATTTCACAATCGTTGCTTTGTTTTTTCGTCCTAGAAAGATATTAGAGCCACTCATGGCCATGTGTAATACCATTTCAGAATCCCTATTAAATGCGCCAAAACTTGTAATACAGGGTCACTTTTCGGTAGAGTATTTTTTTTTCACAGTGGGGTCCGAAGTAAATAAAAAGTTATGATTTGAGAAAAAAAAATCGTAAAACTTAATATTATCTTCAACACACCCAATAAACAACCATAAATGGCATGTCTAACGCAAGGACTCATCAGTACCAATCTAGTGAAAATTATAAAAAAAGATAGAGGATGTTTATTTTTTGGCATTTTAATAAGAATTAGTTAAAAAAAGTCAATTTTCTCATAAAAACACAAAATAAATTATAACTCTGCAGGGGTTGACTTTAAGGACCTCCCGTAGAACAACTTTTTGCAGCTGATGACCCCATCTAACCCCTAGTTGCGTTTGATCCACGACTTTTGGGCCAGCCTGTATATTGGGACGAGACGACACGACCAGAGAGAGATCAGGCGACCACCGAATGTAGAAATACCTAAAGCCTTTGTTAGGTTCGGTTAGACTTGAATCTGGGCTGTTACTGCGAATTTTTTGTCATCAAAACCCAATAACTGATTTTCAAATCCGGGACTACATAATAAGCAGTCGCGTTTAAGACTACCAGACCAACGAAGCAAGCAAGTTAAAGTGTCCTGAATTTCAGTGTGGACCTTTATGGATTGATAAAGAAGATAGACATAATGAGCCGTAGTTCGTTTCGTACATTATTAAATTGGAGAAACGACTCGTGACCGTTGGTTGTTAATTGACGTGTATAAATTGGAACGGTATAACGTTATATCGGGGTCCTTAGAAAAGACTTTTCAATTATAGTAATATAATTGAAGGGCTTTTATCGTTATTTGTTATCAGGAAGCGTCGTATAACCTCATTAGGTATTTTCTATACACTTTTACTTGTTGCATATCATTAAGACATGAATAATCATTTTTTAAATTATTGTCTGTCTGTAGGTCCGGGCTAATCTGCGGAATGACTGAACTAATTCTGATGAAACTTCACGATCAGATAGACGTCTAGACTTCCATTATTTTATCCGAAAAACTTGAAGTTTGTAGTGAAATTTAAAAATTGAATGATAAATGGTCATTAATGATTATTAAAAAAAATATAATTGACGCTCCGCTCTGCTGAAAATTTTGTTAATTGCCTTATAATGGATAATTGCTACAGGGTGCAGAACCGGCCTGTATCTAAGAACCGGTTTTTTCGGTTCCGGGGCCGTACAGAACCGGGTATCGATTATTTTCGGTTCTTAATACTATTATTAATTTCTTAGGGAAAAATAAAACTACATTAATTTGGTGCTAATGATGATAGTGATGTGTATTTAATCAATTGAATGTGTTCCAATGCTAATTATTATAAAATCATCTATATATTATGAAACAACAAAAAACTAGCTTGTCTTCTGAGTTTCATACAAATAAAATTTAGAAAAACAGTTCAAAGAATTAACGAAGGAAATAAAATAAAAAAAAATAAAATCAACGAGATTTATTATCTCACAGTCTCGGGATTCTCTGGTAATAATAAAAAAATCAACACTTTCTAACTGTCTCTCTTTCTTAAAAAATCAAACAAACAAAAATAATTAGATTTATTCACAATCAACACTTCCTGTCTTTCTTATTTTCGTAAAATATGAGAGAACGTTTAAGCTTTTATGGTTTTTTTTTTATAGATAGGGTGACAAACGAGCACACAGTCCACCTGATGGTAAGTGGTTGCTGCGGCCCATAGAAATCTACATCTATCTTCCATTACAAATCAAAATGCAGATGCGTTGTCACCCATGAGGACTGAGATGGAATGCCTCATTTCCAGTAAAAAGTGTCTCTGGTTCTCTACACTCACCATACGAAATACAGCAGCATTAAGCTACTATTTCACGCTGGTATTCTGTGAGAGCGTGGTCCTTCTCCGGTCGAGCCGACCCATTCGTGCTACAACTAACTATACTACTAATATAATTGCAGCATGGCTCTACCACGTAATAAATGGTTTAATGAGGACCGAAGACGACTGCAGAGATAAATCCTAACGAAGAAAATATGCGTTATGGCTCGACGCTTGTGGCTCTTCATTGGTCAAATCTTGTATTTCAATATTTTAGTGATGAACCGTATAAGAGATTCAAATAAAACAAAATTGCTTTAATTTACCCCATTGAACAAGAACCGGGCAGAACCGGACATCATTATTTTGGATCCGGTTCTTTTAGCAAACAAAGAACCGGGTATACCCGGTTTTTTGGGCACCGGGTAGAACCGGGTGCGTGCTCTAATATTTGCTTTAGTTGTCACGCTTGGCAAGAGTTTTAGCAACCGCAGTTTTGTTTTAGTCATTTGTAGCCATCTCCTGATTTGTTTCCATCTGCCGGCCTTTTGCAACACTCGCGGAATGATATGGAGCAGTAAATATTCTAACACCGCCATTATACGGTAACATACAACATTTGCATATAAATACCTATTACAAACCATTATTTAAACGATAAAACAGAAGCAAACAAACAGTACGTCGACAGTCAAGTCGATATTTTTATTTTACACTAATGAAAAGGAAGAAACTAATCAGGGTCTCTGTTGCAGACTATGAGGACGTCATAGCGGCGCTTGCCCGCCTGCAGTCCGCACTGACGTCCGGTGGGGCGGGAGGGGCGGCGCGGGCGGTGGCCGCCGCGGCTGCGCTACTCGCGGGCACGAGCGGGCCGCTGCGTGCAACTCTGCGTACACGTGCCGCTGTGCTGCGGGTGCGCCCGCTACCACCGCCCGTTAGCCGTGCGGCCGATAGGCTCAGAGACGTGAGTGCACTTATTAAAAAATTTTGACGTGATTGATTCCATAGGCAATTCACAAGACTAATGATATAGTTTAGTATCGTTATATAGTAGTTTGTAGCTGCAATAGGAGCTGCTATAATATATCATCTGCACCCGAAATTTAATTGCACCATAGATAACCAAAGGAACGTAGAATTCGTTGCGTTTATCGTGGACTGTGCCTGAACGCACTTGGCGGAGGCGGGGCCCGCTATTTAGAGGTTTAACGCTGCATGCATTCACGTAAAACACACGGCTGGGTCCAAGTCACAGCCACACCCCGATTTTTTAGATTTTTTAATTTTTATAATATAGAATAAGTGTGACAAATGAGCACACAGTCCACCTGATGGTACCTGCTGCACCTGCTGTGGTCCATAGACATCTACGCGATTCCTCTATTAAAAATCAAAAAGTAGATGCGTAGTCACTTCTAAGGACTAGGATGAAATGCCTCTTTTTACATTAATAAAAGTCCAATTTATCAATATTATGTAGAATTGTGCGGGTATTCGATCGGAAAATTTATGACACGGGGATTGCTCTCAAAGGTGCACTGCCCGACGACCGTTATTAGATATCTCATTTTAATACCTACCTACCTAGTCTTAGGTTTGTAAATATTAATTTTGCTGTAAAATAAAAATCGTTGCAATTTAATATTTTTATGGATGTTTTAGTGAGGTTTTAATATAGACTAAATATGTAACATAGCATAGGTGAATCATATCAAAGCATTCTCTCTGAACCATTGCCAAGTGCTGGTCAAATGGTGTATCATTTAGTTTGTAATTGTTTTGTATGTTTAGTTATAAGGTACAATGGGTTAACATGTTAAAAATAACAAAAGTCCCATCGTTGAAAAGTAATTTAATAAGGCATCATAGAGGACGGATTTCGTAGTCATACAATAGTTCGATATTGAAAATATAGCCATGTGGTAGCGGTGTAAGAAAATCATTCTCCTCACTTGGCAGTAAATATGGAATAAATTATAGTAATACGTGTTTAAAGTGATAGAGGAAGCACGTGCTTAAACAGCATCATAAAATTGAGCAGAGTTTGAGTATTTGGGCAATATAATGGGCAACAGCGTTAGAGGTGCAAAAGGTACTGCGATGTTCAATCCGTCTACCAAGTGTGACAAGGAAAATTCTTCCTATAACCGAAGAAACCTACAATGGAATTCATTGGGTGGATGATGATGCAGAAGTTAACGGTCTATTTGCGATGTCAGAATGTCCACTTCTCGTGACGTCCAGTAGGTGTCCTAAGAGGGGGCAGAGGGATACCAACCAGTAGATGGGCAGCAATGTCTTCCTAGTCAATGTTGCCACACCTGTTTATATTTTTTTGTAGTCATATCATGTTTTATTTCTCTCTGTCACTTCTTAAGACACCCACGGGATGATGCAAAGCTATCACGCCACTACTACACGGACTACTACTATGAGGCAATCCATGGCAAGGTCTTTGTTCTGCAGTGGAGTTTTAACAGGCTGCAATGAATTATGATGAATGATAATGAAAAAGAAGGAGATATTTAATCGAATTTCTAAAACAAATCTAAAACTTCTAAACGATCACCTAAGCATAAACAATGATATAAAAATAATAAACTACTGTCTAGATGTTCCCATCAAACAGTAGCAACTCATAATTGCTTTCTTTTCACATTAGTACTCTTAACTCTTGGCAAAATGAAAGAGCCTCTTTAACTTCTCGTGTAGACTGGAATACATTATATAGCTGTGTTTTTGTCTTGTTACACAACAACTTAAAAATTTCAAAGCTTGAAGTAGAACTAAAAAATTATGTTTTCTTTCTAGCCAGTTTGTGTTTACCGTAAAATATAACATTATAAATGTAAACGCAAGTAAATTAATTGTACGGATACCTACCATACTACTAAATTATTGTTTTTCTTATCAGGGTGTATAATTTTTTTGCCATTGGGGTCTTTTAGATAATTAGATTTTTTTTAGAATAAGGGTGACAAACGAGCACGCAATCCGCCTGATGATAAGTAGATATTGCAGCCTATATACATTTATATATCCTCGAAGATACGTTGCTACCTCTGAGGAGTAAGTTAATTATGTACCGTTACGGGTAAGTTATCAGATCATTCTCGATCAGTCTTGCGGTCTGCGTAAACTTCGTCGCTTTTTGATCTTGATTTTGGAAAATCTTTTCGGGTGCATTTATATATTTCTCGCTATTTTGACAATTCAATACAGATCAAAGCAATTTTATATTTGATAACTTGGTACGTAATACTTATCTAGTTATTATTTTATAAATAATACGATAATGCCATACATCGGATGTCAAGTGGAGATTCAGTATTATGTGGTGAATAGTAATGGCTTTATATTGGCCTATTCACATCTCTCTATCAATAATATAATACTACCGGCCGTAACATTATTGCAGGCGAATTATTCCAATAGTTTTCTGTTATATTTTACGGATGTTTTTGGCTGAAAATGCGGGGTATGTAGATATGAATAGCGCAACAATAAATGATGACTAAATAAATGTTGGAGATACCCATGTACTAAACGACTCAAACAGGTAATATTTAAAAAAACGTTAATTAAATTTAACATGGCCCTTAGAATAATATCATGCTAGATACATCACAAAAGACGTTCCAAAAGAAACTAACCTAAATAAAACCGCATAATATTGAACCAAGGAAGCGATGTATTTTACTTTACAACAACTTTTGAACATTGTTTCTGAGTCCTTTTAGAGAATCTTTGAAAGATAATTCCTTTCCCTCAGATACCTTACGGTAGAATTTTCTAACGAATCGCTACCTTTACCTTTGTAAATTTGATATTGTCGATCTATTCATTGAGTATTATTTTGACAAGCTTCTTCATGGCTCGGGGATCAGGCCTTTAAATATTCAAAGGAAACAATAATAGCATTGTTATAAATACAACAAGTTTTGTCGTTAATCACTTCAGTTAAGTTTAATACACTTGTGCCGGGAGTGGTTTAAGACTTTTTAGTTTTGCAGCACAGCAGTTAGTGATATTTACAGCAGCAGCAATACTAGCAGCAGTTATTATCGTTTTAGTTAACTTCTTTTACACAACCGAGCCGATCTCAATCAGTAGTCAGTAGTTTATACGTGGTAGAGCCACGCTGCAGCTTTATTATGATTGTAGCACGAATGGGTCGGCTCGGCTGGGGAAGAAACACGCCCTGACAGAAATCCAACATAAAATAGCAGCTTAATACTGCTGTGTTTCGTATGGTGAGTGTAGAGACCCGTAGACCCTTTTTTACTAGAAACGACGCATTCTAGCTTAGTCGTCAGGGGTGACAACGCATCCGCATTATGATTCTTACACGAGGATAAATGTAGATGTCTGTGAGCCATAGCATCTACTTACTATCAGGTGGACTGTGTGCTCATTTGTTACCCTTATTCTATAAAAAAGTGGTTTCCAACACCACTACTGGTATGACGGGTATAGAAAGCTAGTATAATTATAAGCTCTGAAGTATTCCATCTTAGTCCGCAGAGGACGTTTGTAGTAGAACATGTTTATAGTGTTCCTTGTTTGAAATTGGCTGCTGGTGTCCATGAAATACTGTAGCCACTTACCATCAGGTGGGCTGTTCATTTCAATTATATAAAAATACTAGCGATCCGCCTCGGCTTCGCACGCGTGATTTCTGGATCTTGACAACAGCACCACCTACTGGACCCAATCGTAAACTATTCTCGAATCAATTTAACACACACAAAATTTATCGAAATCTGTCCAGCCATTCTGGAGTTCAGTCACTTACAGACGGACAAAAGAATTATAAACATAATTATACATATAAACGTTCCTCTTGAATCCTTCTGTCTATTATTGAAAACCGCATCAAAATTCGTTGCGTAGTTTAAAAGATCTAAGCGTACCGACGGCGGAAGACGCGCCTTTGTTTTATAATATGCAGAGACTCCTAATTTACTATACATAGTATACTACATTATACATACTATTATATATAATATACTGCAAGTTAGTGTGTTTTATTACGTTTAGATATCACTGTTTATGATTTTTAAATTATAACTGTCGTATGCTTTCATAAGAAAAAGGAAAGTAATTTCAAAATTTTGTTACCATTTTACTCATGGGACAAGTAAATCAGTGATCTTTCATTATAAAAAAAAAACTCTTTTTTATTAATTTATTGCATGAATATATATTACTATTGTTTTAAGTACTAGTTTACAAATTGAGTTACCATCTAAATCCAGTATTTTATTCAACACTACGATTATATTTAGAAAAAAAATATTTAATTATGTTGGACACACCGATCTAAGAGGGGGTCAAAAAAAATGAAACCGCTCATGTGCTCATTAAAGAAGGAATCTGTATGTCTGAGAGGTAAAATATTAAGGGCATGTAAATTCTGGCAAATTACCCTGGAGAAACACGTCAGGTACCTATTGCTTCACTAGTACTTTGTAATTAAGAGCTTTGAACATTCAGACCTATACAATTTACTTTGCGTTTTAGGTAAGTTTTAGTTGCCCTGTTTGCTAGCGTACGCGTGCGTATGCATAGCAAATTTTCTGGCTCTAAGATAAGACTAAGAGAGTGATCGGATGTAATGGAAAAGATACTTTAATTGTAGCAACATCATGCGCATACAAGCAATACTTACATAGTTTAATTGAATACAAAACTGAAGTGAAAATGCGACTCTCAAACAGCTTAAAGAATAACCCAGATTCAAATATAGGACCCGCGAGAAACGATCTGGTATCCTTTTCAAATGGCCGGCAACGCCATTGCTATTCCCCTGGTGTTGGAGCTGTTCATGGGCGGCGGTAATCAGTTACCATCAGGTGAGCCGTGTGCTCGTTTGTCCCCTCCTCCTATAAAAAAGGGCTGACCATTAATCTACGCTACTCTAATCATCCACAGAGCGATGACGATTAGTGTCTATATACCGAGGTTAAATATCTGTATCAAATATTAATCATATATCAGCTAAGATATCTTTTGAAAGTAGGGTGTTAAGTAGGTGAAGGATATCAACCTGCCCAGCCTATGGACAATTTCGTACCTATCGATCCACTGCGCGAGTAATATTTAACTTTTTTTTAAAAATGCTATTTGTCTTTTATTAATTTATTGTTATGCTGCAGAGGTAAAAAGTAGTGGATGGAACGAAATATTCCGACTGTAAGCCATTACTAAAATAACCCGCAAAATATTTACGTCAGCTTTTACATGGTCATTTAATAATTTATTCATTAAAACCTATCAAAATTCTACTGCTAATCATAGGCCTCCGCCATAGATTTCATCGTAGGTATATTTATTTAGTTGCCACGCTAGCAGCCAGGTTGCCAACCGCAGTTTTTTAATTATTTTAGTTTTTATAAGGAATATACGGCTACCCGTCTCCAGTTCCCACGACACCCACGAGGCGATATGGCGGACGCGGTGATTGTTCATGACAGAGCCACTTAATTTGGCTTCAACACAAATTAGTCGGCTCAGCCAGGAAGAGATCACGCTTTCAGAGACACCAAACTATAGAAATATAGCATAAATTAGTCGCGATAGAGAGCTACAGAGCCATCAAAAACATAATAGACTTTTCATCTTTGGAGTTTCACGAATATCACAGTAGTTTTTAATACTTACTTCATACATTTTAATATATTTCTTGCTTTAGTAACAACATTTATCGAATTAAATATTAAATCGATTTCCGCTACGGAATAACGACTTCCATTCTACCGTTCAATAGATGACATTCAAAGTGCAAACGTTGTGGTCACAAAGCAATTTGTGAATGTGCCCCTAACGTCAGAGCTGACACATTCAGTGACCAGGGCCTTTGTCTTGAACATAAAAGCGACCAATAGGAACAATGGTCAACACTGGAGGGCACACAACAATACAGTGGGCTATGTTTAAGGTTCCGCTGTTTGGCATACGCATCAGTTATGAATTAAAGCTATTTTTGAATTTCCAACATTTGCATTCTATGATATGATTCTTATATATATTCTTAAAAATATTAAAGAATTTACACTATACAAATCTTCGATCAATAATACCAATGGTATTGTTGATCGAAGATACAAATATATTTATTACTGTGTGTAGTCATATCATCCTGTGGATGACGTAAGAGGCTACGGAAGGGAACTGAATCAGGAGATGAGCCTAGGGTTGCCAGATGGTCGGCGTTCGTCTGGATTCATGATATCCAGACTCCCGACAAATCTCGAAATCTCCACAAACAGTTTCTCGGGAAGTTGACGTATGGCCTTTGATTTAATAAAAGTTGAGTTATTAATTCAACTGGAAATTGGAGTAAATAGTTTGAATTTTAAATCTTTCTGAATTCTACTAAAGGATCGAAATTGGTGGACTGTAAAGTCCAATGCCAAATACATGTGGCAACCTGAAAATTAAGTGTACTTATTATTTAAATTAGTTATGTGTCAACAATGTTAAGTAACTTTTTGTTTTTAATATTTATTTCTCCCGACAACAACTACATTTTTAAAAATTGTCCGGATAATTTGTTTTTCCAATCGGCAAACCTAGATGAGCCGTAGCATATTCCTGATAATAGCTGATAAAAAATCAACAAACTGCGGCTGTCAACCCGTCCGCCAAGCTTGGCCACTATGGCAAATATCCACTGTATTTAATAGACGACTTCAATAGACTGTAATGAATTAATGAACCGGGGAAGGACCACGCCCTCACAGAATACCAGCGTAAAATAATAGCTTAATGCTGCAGTGTTTCGTATGGTGAGTGTAGAGAACCGGAGATCCTTTTTACTGGAAACGAGGCATTCCATCTTAGTCCTCACGAGTGACAACGCATTCTGCATTTTGATTTTCAATCAAGGATAGATGTAGATGTCTTTAGGCCACAGCATCCACTAACCATCAGGAGGGCTTTTCACCCTTATTCCATTTAAAAAAAAAAAACAGAATATCCTTAATAATTTACTTATCAATTAACCAACTGTGATTAAAAGTAAATAATAACAAATGAACAACTAGAAAACATAGCAAAGTTAGTATAAAGTAGTGACATTTTGTCGAACGTGAGACCAAACGTGAGTCTTTGAAAAATAAATAACTGTTCGTCAAATATAATCGCCGCGAATTGGAGCGTGTTTTGTGATTTGAGATTTTATTATAAAATTATACGATAGGCGAAACGTTCGAAATTTATTTTTAGTCAGCAATTATTAAACGTAAATACGCATCGATAGGAAACGCTAAAATTATACCGTATACTATGTAAAAAGAAAAATTCTCCCCTATTATTATTGAGGTATAAAATGATTTTTTATACAATACAATACAGTACTCTTTACTCAAGGAAAATACCGTTACCGTTACAGCATATTAAAGTCCACTGCTGATCATAGGCCTCCCCATAGATTGCCTTATAGGGGGGATATTTGCCATAGTTGGCACGCTTGTCGAGCGGGTCGGCAACCGCAGTTTTTTTTTATTTTTAGTCGTTAGACTTAGCACGCACTGCGATTAAACGCGAGCGGTTTAGGAATAGCTGAAAACGCAAAACCCCATACGATCACGCACTGCGGCTGGAGTTTTGTTTAATTTTATTTAACTATCACCATGGATTTCCGACGAGTAGCGTGTGTTGTGGCTTTGGTTTTTAAATTAAAAAATAGAAAACGTAAACAACGGCGCTGCCATAAGTACTGGGTTCATCCACTAACAGATAAAAGACATCTGAAAGGATACTTTTGCTACTAATTATTACCGCAAAAAAAGACTGTCCTCTGCGCTCGTCTAGTCGAAACCGAATACGGTTCACCGCAGTGCGAGCGCCGCCATGCTATTACTATGGGACACATAAAAATCGCGCGTTTACAAACCGCGATTTTAATGTAGCAAGTTACGTTTTTAAAATCAGTCACTGAAAAAAAGTCGCTAATGCGTGCGCCTGTATAGAAAGCTATGTGTGTGTGTGTGCATTTTTTTGTGGTTTCAGATGTGCGGTTAAACTCGTGCGTTTAACCGCAGTGCGTGCTAAGCCTTATCAGGAAGATGCTGCTGCCCATCTCCTGGTTTGTCTCCCTCTGTCGCGTCTTGCGGCACCCACGGGACGATATGAGGGGTAGTGGATTCTCTTACGTGAATACTACGGCGCACTTGAAACATTTTTTAGGGATTAAATGGCGTTGTTATTAACTTATTTCTTTATTACCGCCCTTTCTTGTTTGTCTGTCGTTAAACTAACTTCCCGATGAGTTGGAGACTTGACATTTTGAATATAGCTCAAATTAGGAACATATAATACGAATATGATAAAGAAACGTGGTAAAAAAATTTAAAGAAATCACCTGCTTTATACGTTATTTAATAAAAATATTACTTTCATTTAATAAGTTTCCATTAAATTATTATCCCGAAGGTTATCAGCCTTATGGGATGATAATTTAGTGATATATATTTAATGATAAAGCAATTTGGGTAGTTATTTTCGTATGACTCTGATAGACATCGTTCCATAGGTCTTCTCAAGAATACAATGATTCCTTCCGTCATAGCCCTGCATCAAACGGGAGTCCCATATTTTTTATAGAAGAATGCAAAGGAGCATTCGGCTCACCTGATGGAAATTGACTTACACTAGTGAAATCGCAGGTGCGATGCCGGTCTTTTAAAAAGGAGAAGACCCTTCTCTTGAAGATTCTTAAATCGTATCGGTCCGGAAAAATCGCTGGTGGTATTTGATTCCAGAAACAAGTTTGTCAAGGAAAAAACGCTACCTTAATAGCGATGATGGGTTTATTTGTAGGTACCTATTATAATACTTGTATATCTAAGGGTTGCAGCGAACATATTTTTTTCAAAGATTTATTCTGTCTCATTGCTTATATTCACAAGTAAAAATAAATTTGAATTTGAACTCGAAACGTTTTTCACCAGTTGAATGTTAAATGAGTTTTTTGTTCACAGTGCATAGACACGCTGGGACCATTAGCGTCATCGGGTAGCGAGAGTTCAGCGCTGGCCGCTGAGCTGCTTTCACTGCTTGGGGGATTGGAGCTGGAGAGCCTCATACAGGCGCACGACCAGGCTGCAGCGTTATTAGACCCCGCCTGCTTCTCTCGGGGGAAGAGATATAAGGTAAGTCATAATCATCATCATCATTACAGCCCTACACAAGTCCACTGCTGAACATAGGCTTCCCCCAAGGTATGCCACAAAGCACGGTCCTGAGCCACCTGCATCCATCGACTTCCTGCATGTCTTACCAGGTCGTCACTCCATCTAGACGGGGGTCGCCCTACACTACGCCTACCGGTACGAGGCTGCCACTCGAGAACCCTTCTTCCCCAACGGTTGTCGGTTCTTCGAGTTATATGGCCGACCCATTGCCACTTCTGCTTACTAATCCGTTGGGCTATGTCGGTCACCAGAGTGACTGCGGATATTCTCATTTCTAAGTTTATCACGCAGAGAAACTCAGAGCATAGCCCCCTCTCCATAGCTCGCTGAGCGACTTTGAGCGTCCTCATACGGCCAGCAGTGAAGGACCACGTCTCGGTTCCGTAAGTCATCACTGGCAACACGCCCTGGTTGTACAACTTAGTTTTCAGGTTTTGAGGTATACCTGACGAGAAGATGTGTCGTAATTTCCCGAACGCTGCCCAGCCGAGTTGAATCCGTCGATTGACCTCTCGGTCGAAGTTGGACTTACATAGTCGGACTATTTGTCCCAGGTAAACATACTCGTCAACAACTTCGTATTTAGTGCTCCCAACAACTACCGGCATAGGTGTGACATGGACATTAAACATGATCTTTGTTTTGTCCATGTTCATATTAAGACCTATCCGTTGGGAGGCACTATTGAGGTCATTGAGCATAGTGCTTAAATCCTCCAGCGATTCTGCCATAAGGACTATATCGTCGGCAAATCGAAGGTGAGTGATGTACTTGCCATTGATGTTAATACCGTATCCTTTCCAGTGCAGTAGCTTGAAAACGTCTTCCAATGCAGCGGTGAAGAGTTTTAGGGAAATAACGTCACCCTGTCTGCAGTTGGATAGGTTTCGTTTTCTGATTCTGTACTCGGATAGCCATCGTAGCCCTACTGTACAAACACTTCAGCACTTCGATATACCAACAGTCAACTTGGTACCGCTGAAGAGACTATAACACCGCCCAAATTTCGACGGAATCAAAGGCTTTCTCATAGTACACATACGCCAGGCAAAGTGGCAGATTGTACTCTTCAGACTTCTGTACAATTTGCCGAAGGGTATGTATGTGGTCTATGATACTAAAGCCTTTTCGGAAACCGGCTTGTTCGGGAGGCTGGAAGTCGTCGTCTGCGTGCGAGACGATTCGTAATGACTCTCGAAAACAGCACGTAGACGCGGCTCAGAAGGGATATCGGTCTGTAGTTCTTCAAGAGGGCGTTGTCACCTCTCTTGAAGAACAAGACCACCGCACTTCTGCTCCACGCCTCCGGAGTAGTGCCGCCATGGAGAATGGAATTAAAGAGCCTCTGAAGGACTTCAAGTACCGGTTTTCCACCCGCTTTCAGAAGCTCCGCTATATTTCCATCCTCGCCCGGAAACTTGCCGTTTTTAAGGTGCTGGAGAGCCATTCTAATCTCGCTCAGACGATGAGGTATGTACTACTGGTCAACTCTTAACTATTTAAATGAAATTCGAAGTCTCTCTTTTTGAAAAACTAACATACAGTCCGTCTGAAAAAAGCGACTTTTGCAGTCCATGGATCTGCAACTAACTTCAAACAAAGATTAGAAAGGAGACGGCTACTAATATGGACGTCTTTAGTATTTACCCTTCAGACCGGAACCCATCAGTACTCTGATCCAGACAGAAAAGAGGTCCTATCGCTTAGTTGAAAGTATGCTCTAGTAGTTAACTCCCTTAAAACTTGGTGATATTAGCAAAAATTGACAGAACTGATTATTGGCGAAAAAATTAGGCGAAATCCAATTGATTGTTAACGACGAATGTACTGATCAATTTAAGATATTTAATCCCGATTAATTTTACAATGAAATCCCGACGTTTCTAGTGCTTAGCAGCACCCACGATCACTAGGGAGCTCCTGTGTTCAAAGTCGTGATTTCATGTTAACCCAATGATTTCAATCTGATCTATGTCGAAAACGTAGTACTACTGTTTATTATTCTGTGGACGAATGTGGTTAAGTTCAAGTATTCCACGCGTAATTTTATATGAAAACAGTTTTAAAATGAAACAACGTAAAACCAAACTTCCTCGTACATTTGCTCCCTAAAAAAGAAAATAATTGTGAATATATACCCCGAATAGACATAGACATATAAGTTTTATTAGCATCAATATTCAATACACTCACAAAATATACATTTAGAAGCAAACAAGAAAATAAAAAGTTAATAACACACATGGTACAAGATAGAAAACATAAATATAAATAATTCTCCGCAAGAGTGTGTGATGTGATGCCAAAAAGGATTCCGTCGCCGCATATGCTACCGCAGATACTGCAGCAGCGCTGATTATCAGCGGAGCCCTTACAAATATTTATTCTATATTGCGCCCGCGTCGTTATCGGGCTAACTTTCCATTTAAAAATAATGAATCAACCATTCACTCGAAGTATACATTTTTAAGTATATACATAAAATTCAAAAAATAGACATATATACACGTGTATATGTATACACTTACACATAAAAATATGTTATATTATATATTTACACACACGTGCATTTTATTTTTAATTTTTATTGTCTTTTGCAGACTGGAAACGCGAATCACAAAGGCGAGAACGACAAAGCGGTGTCTACATCGCCGGACAGCGGGAGCGATCAGATCAAGATCATTAAGATCGAGAAGACCAACGAGCCACTGGGTGAGTGTACTTTATTCATCTTCTGCTTCGTTATCGGCCTGTGAAATTTCGCAGCTGGACAACCTCTTTCCTCGTAGGGAGGATTTGCCTTAATCGGCACATTTGGCAGATTGACGATCGCAGTTAAATGTCTAATACTATTATAACACGCTGCTGCCCGTCGATTTGTGTATTTTACGTCTTTTACAAAATGGTAACGGTATACCACCATCGAATAGAAGTGAAAAGATTTTTCTATCATTTTCTATAGTCGCTTCTTCAGACATTCTCGGTACTTTTTTTATAGAATAAGGGTGACAAACAAGCGCACAGTCCACCTGTCCCTGAGCTTCTACGGCTCATTAGATTATATACGTAAATAATTTAATAAAGGGCAAAGGCTATTAAGCAGCCTGTAAAAACAAACGCCATCAACATTGCCGAATTTAAAATTGTTATCAGTGTCTCGAGGACGATAAACACTTTACCTTTATCAAGACAAGTTATACGTGACGTAATTTAATTTCGCATGCACAGATATTACGATGTAAATTCTACGACCATGTGGGTGATACGGTTAATAGGTAGCGTAATAGGGTATGCATAGTCTTCTTACATCTACGGACAGGTACCCCGAATGATATCATAATAATTTCATTAAAAACTATCTTCCTATATTAGTTGCAGTTTATATTGGATGTAGTTTTATGTAGATTTTTAAAATAATTTGCACAAACATGACGATTATTAATTAAAGTTATGAATTATGAGTAACAAATGGCGTTGCTATACTTTCCATTATTCAGTTTTTTTTTTGTAGAAACATTTAAAAGGTTATATTCCGAAGCTACAAGACCGTTTATTTCGCATTCCTAGTTTTAGGCCTATGATCAGCAGCGGACTTGTAATGGGCTGTAATAATGATAATAATGATGATGATTGCAAACCTAATGAAAAAATATTTTACATTTTTTTGTATATAAACATTTTTATGTAAATCTTACATTCGCTTTTTGATATTCCATTGAATTGTAAATAGTATTTACACAAAACGGTCTGTCTCGCTACAGCGTGGTCGTCCTACAGACTACAGACAGGTTATGTCGTAAATTCTGCAACCCTAACTATACCGCATACATAATCAATGTAGCCAGGTTATACTATTTTATATAAGGCATGCGAGCCAAGAACTTTTTGTACCTGTTAATTTTCTAAACGAGATCCTAGATTTTAACAAATAATAAAATAACAGGTAAATGTTTTGGGTAACACACAGCACACCTGATTCTTATGTAAACTATAGATGAATGAAGTCATCTGGGTGGTTTTTTAAATATAGAATAAGGTTGACAAACGAGCACACAGTCTACCAGATGGTAACTGGATACTGTGGTCCATAGACATCTACATTTATCCTCCATTATAGTTTAAAATGCAGGTGCCTTGTCACTCCTGAGGACTAAAAGGGTATGTCTCGTTTCCAGTAAAAAGGGTCTCCGGTTCTTTACACTCACCATACAAATCACAGCGGCATTGAGTTGAATGATTCACATGTGCATTTGTGCTTTTCTACCATGGCACGCATAAAACAGGCTACGCTATAATACCGAATTCGAATGTGTTGGATGCATTGATTCGGTAATTGTATTTACATATATGCAAATTCAAATTGCTCGAGGGTATGTCAATGTATTTATTCATGTAAATGCCATTGTCGTAGCTTTACTTATATTGGTTAAAATTGGTGGTAATTTTGTCACAACGATATCGTTGTCAATACGACTTGATAATTAATTTATAGTTTTGTTGTTGTCATTTAGTATTCATTCAAATAGTAGCTTAATGTTGCTGTGTTTCGTATGGTCAGTGTAGAGAACTGGAGACCCTTTTGACTGGAAACGAGGCATTCCATCTTAGTCCTCACGGGTAATAACGCATCTGCATTTTGATTCGTATAGATAGATGTAGATGTCTATGGGCCATAGCAACCACTTACCATCAGGTGGACTGTGTGCTCTTTTGTCATACTATCCTATAAAAAAGGTCAATCCAATAAATATGTACATATATTTAGCATTCATATAATAAATACAATTTACATTAAATTTTAGCTGAACTCAAAAATTAAATTTTTAAAATTATGTTTATTTTAATATACATATTATACAAAATTTTACATATTCTGGAAACCTTCCTTAAGCATAGGTTACTTTTATACATTTAATCTGATATGTGTTTTAATGAACTAAAAACAAAACATTATTTTCTGTTTTATATTTAATGCAAGGGGTTTTACAAAAATGATTAAATATTAATTTGAGTAAGGTTAGCATTAAATTAACAATGTTATATATTTATGTAATTTTACTGTATTATTATAATTATGTTTATTAATTTCAGGTGCTACGGTTAGAAATGAGGGTGAAGCAGTAATAATCGGCAGGATAGTCAGAGGTGGAGCGGCGGAAAAATCTGGCTTACTCCATGAAGGTGACGAGGTGAGGATATGAGTTTGTTAATATTTAATAATAATGTTACAACATTTGTTAAGCATGTTTTCACGTTTGATTAAATTAGAAACTATGCGAGTAATAGAACTTAACGTATTTTCAAATTATATCTAAAGATATTTAAAAAAATGGATAAATTATTATATTTTTCTATGATGAAAAATGTTATAATAAATTAGCTAAGATCTGCGTAATAAAATAAAATGATGTGTCTTACCAACACTAAAGAGCACCTCCCGCCCTTCTTAAATTGGGTAAACACTACGAAAAACCCCACCGTCGGTAAACGTAAGTACATGTTTCAACTTTACGAGGCATCCTCAAGTGAAATAGACACTGCGGTGGTGAACTGTAGAATCAGTACCGTAGATAATTAAGAGGTTACCTTGAAAATGAATCGAAGTTTTGGGGGCGTGGCTTATTCCTTTGTCGGTGAAGCTAACGGACGACTGAGGGAGTGTCAAAATGAAAGTGATGCAATGATTTCATAGTACGCAAATTAAGAGATAGCCATACCGAGCAAGCGCTCGGAAAAAAACTAAGTAAGCGCCAAACAACATTTTTATTTATTTTAACAAAACTTCGTTATGTATCAAAAAACTGGTTTATGAGAACTTAGATAAGATTATTTACTATGCCTTAAAAATAATTTCGTTAAATTATTCATAAGAATATTGTGGTGTCATGGAAAAATGTAGATAATTAGAGCCTACTTTGCAATTTTTTTCTATCGAGAAAATTTCATGATATCGTGTTTTCCTTTTATGCAATCCAAGGTCATATAGTCAAAAATCATATACCAAAATTTTGGTTTGTTATCTATAAAACTTAAAAAAATATGTTAAATAGAAAAACCACCAAATTTTCGAGGTATCACCTTAATTTTAACATAATTTATTTAATAATTTCCGCAAAGTAACGACTGATTCTATTAATTAGAAAGACGTGTAGAATAGAAAGGCTCGTAGAAATACATATATAATATGATGTATTTGAATAAAAATATTTTATTTCATGCGTTGGCACCACTGAGGACTAAGACGGGCTCGTCTTTTATCCTTTTCCCGTACGATCCGCAGGAGACTCCATATCTTTTTGTGCGCAGTACTTATTATCATGATCAATTTCTCGAAGTTTCAGGCTTAGGAAACAAATACTTACTGAAATAAAAAAATCAAATTTTGCTAAATTAACCTCAAACTTTGTACTATTTTGTGGTTTTTGACGTAATTTCGACAGCAGGTGTTGCTATTTTATGGAGTTTTAATAATGCGTTTTGATTTTGCGAATAAGAAATTGAAGCGAACTTTTTTAAATTACGTTATTTTTTGTTATTTTATTCGGGTTGCGCAATTTCACAGTGATATGAGCTTTTTTGAGTGAATAATTACGAAAATTTAGTTTTTGTGATAATCTAAAACTATTATTCTGATCCGATGGTATCTGCTAAATGTCAAACGAAACGCTAACTCATTAACAGCCAAATTTTGTGATATTTGTGTCATGTCACTCAGTATTATTCTCTTTTTTTACAATACACAAAGCTATTACACAACACACACCGACTTCGCAAAAAGACACAGAGAACTTAGGATGTAAGAGCGAGCGAAGTGAGCTGGCGGCGCTGCGTTATTGTTTAATGATTGTGTGTGTGGTGACGTTGTGTGTGCGTTATGCGTGCAGCTGCTGGAGGTGAACGGCGTGAGCATGCGCGGCAAGTCTGTGCACGAGGTGTGCCAGGTGCTGGGCGCACTGGCCGGCACGCTCACCGTGGTGCTGGCGGCACCGCGCGCGCGCCCGCCGCCGCCGCGCGCGCCGCACCGCGTGCTGCACGTGCGCGCGCACTTTGACTACGACCCCGAGGACGACGTCTACATACCCTGCCGCGAGCTCGGTCAGTCAACTTCAAATATACACAACATATTTCTATTCTAAATTCAATTTTATAGAACCTCGATAAGATAAAAACCAAGGGAAACGTCAAATAATAATATTGAGGTTTTTACTTACTAAGGGAGTTTTTATTGGTTTATATTTGTACTTACAGAGGTACGTTTATGAGCTTTGTTTAGAAATTACATATATACTCTCATAGATAGATGAGCTAGGTTAAATGCAAATGAAACTTTTAAATGTTACATATGTACGTCCTTTATTTTAGGTTTAAAGATACATTTATTCAAGTTTGTTTTATTCTACATAAAAAAGTCGGCATTTTTTTGTTTGAAACTATTTACACTTTCTGTCAATTTTTTTTTCAATATTAAATAAGGAAGAGACAATATCATCCTCTGTTTCTGCATTGCTCTATAAAAGATCGTAAAACATCGCTATAGAAAAGCCAATGATACAATTAAGTTACTGTACTTAGAACTTAGTGTATTGTTTACATTTGAAGCCATTTGATAAACCCGTGTAAGCAATAACAATGGTCTACAGGGAACCTTTATTGTTTGCACATTCGTATAAAATGACTTATTGATAGATGATTGAAGTTGTAAAGGTCGTCTTAGTTACAACTTTGAGCTACTTACTAGAGAGGTGCGACGCCCAAATTATTCGTTTAAGTTATAGAGAGTTTGTATTTTAAGTAAAAGAGGTTTTGCACTCCGAGCGGAAGGGAACACAAAATTTTATGAATTTATAGAGGTTATTACGTTATCGAGGTTTAAGTTATCATGGTTCTACTATATTTCTATTCGAAACGTGCAATATTTCTATTATAATTAAACCATATTTTTTTTTTGAAATAGAACCAAATTTCTAATCTCTATTTAAATTGAACTATATCATTCGAAATTTAACTTTACATACTTCTACTTGTAACACTTTAAACATACAATATTACTGTTTAAACAATACAAAAAAATATTTTCGAAACATACAACATTTCTATTAAAAATTAGCCTTTACACATTTTTATTCCAAATATACAATAATTATTTTCGAAATTGACCAATACTGTGCGAATCAAATAAAAATGGGACTGACATGGCGCCATATTGTGATATCATAACCGCCAATTCAAAACAGATACGTTTGTAGTAATACAAATAAATACAAAAGAACGATGAAATAAAAAGTTTTAATCTGGCACTTCAATTGGGTTTCTGAATGAAAATTAATTATCAATTTTTATTTTATTTAAATAATTTATCATTATTCATGTTGATAATCGATGTAATTTTTTTAATTATTTATAATTATGAATTAATTAAAATTTATAAAAATACAAAAATTACGTGATGCTACAATTGACAGAAATTTAAAATGGCTATCCTATCCACTTTGTCAAGAGGCCAAAATGCTAGTCAAACTTTATTTACATGTAATGTGAGTTTAGCGAGATGTAATCTTTTCTTACTTATAAGGGTAATCATATCACAGGATTTTGCATAGTATCTATTTTTGTTGCTTTTATTTTATGTAGCTTTGTTACTTTCTATGTTATTATGTGTTCATTACTTTGTTTTCTGATATTATTTTTGTGTGTATATCATATCACGGGGGTGACATAGTCACTGTGTGACAAAATCTCTGACAAAACAATGATTTAAAAAAAAGTGATGCCTCAAAACGCGCCATAAGTGGCTGCCATGTTTGTGACGTCATTATGTTAAAGCATTGTCAACAGCTCGGATCTCTATCCATATTGTTACAATTATTAAAATTTATAACAGAAAAATTATTGTAAATTATCAATTAAATCCAGTTATGTGTGAAACCGCTCAATTCAAAGCTAATTGAGTTGTTATCTCGGCTGTAGATATTTTAATGGTGACAGATTTTTTCGATTCAATTCCGCTGAAATTAAAGGTACTAAAACAACACTGAGTTTTATATTAGTAAGTAAATAAAAGTAAGTAAAAATTAAATAATAAACATAATTGAATAATTTTTAGGTGATAACGCGATTGGTTATATTCAATTACAGAATAATTAGCAAGAGATGTTTAACTCAGCTAGCTATAACTTTTTAAATTAAAAATTAAAGAAATTTACATTATATTGTTAAATCATCAAAAATTAATTATATATACTACGTTTGGGTTGGGTTTGAAATTAATTCGCCTGAATTTAAGGATTCTGTCACTGTGTCAAGGGAATCTATCTGAAGCACCCCCACGCTATTTTTGCTGCCGGAGCAGCGTTGAAGTATTTTTAATAATTTTTTAGAAATATTGGTAAATCACTAACTAAATGTCAAATGGAACGTACATTTAACTAAATTCTAACGTTTTTGACGTTGCATCTGTCAAAGTCATCTCAAAATGCGTAAAATGAATCGCTAGGCCGGCTCTTTTGTTGAGTGAAATATAGCAAAATTTGCAATATGCAAAAAATTTGCTAATTTGCAAATTTTCCCGCCATTACTCCGCATCTCCATACTTTACGTCATTCCGTTCTTTCCGTGTTTACGTGAACTTCCAAGATTTTATCTCCTCCACCTTCCTTCTCGGATCCTTTTTCACAAATGTTTGTAGCTATAAATTATGTTTATAATTTAAAGTAATCACAAAAGTTAATTTTTTGTTTTATTGAGTGTAAGAGTGAGCGAAGCGAGCTCGGGACTTAGGGCACCCTGACTCGGACAGGTTAGGTTAGAAGAGAATGGCGGGGTTGAGTGAGCGAGCGGAGCGAGTTAATTGACATCACCATCCCATTCGTGGTTATTTATTTATAAACCACTCAGAAGTAGCCCCGCGGACGGAGCACGGCAAAGCGGGGCTCCGTCGACCGGGCTTTTCTCCGCTGCGCTACGTTGAGTGACGTGGAGATTTTTGAAATTAATTATGACTTCAATAGATTTGGTAGACTAAGACTCATTTAAATAAATATAAATGTATAAAATTATTTTTTTTTGCAAACCGTACTTTTAAGTGACAGTTGACAGATGGCGCTCATTGGAGGTCATTGACGTTCTTATTGATATTTGAATATCATTGTACACATTTCTATTCCAAATTGCAAATTATTGCATATTTGGAATAGATAAAAATATAATAGAAACTATATTAATCTATTGATTTATTGTTATTGAGTAAGGATCTTACTTTTCTGCCAATAGAATTTCTCTAATTTACTTGTATCGATTGAGAAAATACCTACATACGGGTTAAAACTAAAAGTCTTTGAATTTTATATTAAAAAATTCATTCAGAATTCATTAAAATATATCAATATTTTGTAATGTCCTTCCAGGTATTAGTTTTCAAAAAGGCGACGTGCTGCACGTAATAAGTCGAGACGATCCGAACTGGTGGCAGGCGTTCCGTGAAGGCGAGGAGGACCAGTCGTTAGCGGGACTAATTCCTAGTCAGGCGTTCCAACATCAGTGAGTCTAATAATATTTATAAAGTTCGTATAGTTTGAGTGAGAGCGTTCATTCCACTAAAATAATATTGTGATATTATGGTAAGAATTTTGACGAAAAATGCAAGTGAGGTGAAATGCTATTTTATTTTAAGACATTTTTGAACTACAATTCGTTATTGATAAACCCTATGCGACGTACTTTTAAAATTAAATACAATCGGAGAACAATTTCTTTGAACGTTTTGCATGACACTATGGACGATTTTATATAATTTAACAGTAGATAGAAGATTACTTACTTCAATGCTATTTCTGAATATATTGAATGACCTAAATCAATCAATTCTCTCATCAGACGGGAATCGATGAAGCTCACACTAGCAGGCGAAGTTGCCGCTCGGGACAAACCACGCAAAGGCGGTACGTTGCTATGCGCGAAAAAGCCTCCAAGGAAAAAGAAGGGCAAAAAGGCAACGAGTGAGGCTGGCTACCCGTTATATTCTACCTCAGGAGCAGATGGTGAGTTAGAAATAGAACGATTTTATTCAATATTGATTATAAAATTTTCGAAAATCCAAAAGTCCACGCCTCATGAGCGTTTCATTTAATTTTGATAAAAAAATTGTATTCCTGGCTTTTAAAATATATTACTTACGTGTTATTTATTTTAACAGATAGTGTCACCTACAGGGAAAAAATTGATAATGTTTACCAAAATAAATCGATTACACAAAGTATTAAATTGATATTAGGCTGTATGACTACATTTGTCCTTTGTCTATCAAGGGCTTAAAATAATGAAAGCGCCTTTAAGTTTTTAATAGCAATAAAACTTATAACATTTGAAAATTATTTTAATTTTTTCAAATGTTATAAGTTTTATTTATACACGGATTGTTATAAGTTTTATTTACACGGATTCCAGATGTGGAGGATCATGTACCTTCCCTGTTGTACCTTCTGCTGACCTCTGATCAGGTATATCGGACGTATATTAGGTTTCCGTCGACGCCCCTCTTGACTCGTCGGATCATTGTCTTGTCCGGAGTGTGGTGCCACTCACACAAACGTCGCGGTTGCATTCTCCAGGCTGCCGTCCTGTTTGACACTATAGGTCAGCCGATTGGGTCCAGGATGCGGTTTCTTTTTTTGCATCCTATCCTTTGTTTACTTCTCTTCAGATGATCCCAGCGTTATTGCTGATTCTGTCGCTAATGTGGTACTTCAGAGTATGGAACTTTTTATTCCATCCTCTGTATTGCCCATTGGAGGCAGATTCTAGCCATGGCTTGTTTGCTTCTGTAAAATTTTACCGCAAATTAAAAACAAAAATAGCATCACGCTATAAGCAGGAGTGCTACCGGGCTTGGCTCGAGACGTTGATACGTCATCTCGGAATGTAAACAGCAGCGTTCTTAAAAAGAAGTATAATTCCGCCTCTAGGCCCTTCAAAAGAATCATTGCCAAGGCAAGGTCTGTGCACATCGGCAGAATTGGCAAGAAGCTAGTTCGCCTTCCTACTACTCGGTGCATTAAACCACCGACATTGTTTTCAACAATCTTTATACGTGGTTATGTCATGCTATTGTGTGCTCATCTCCGGTCGATCCGACCGGGGATGTACCACGCTCTCACCGAATACTGGCGTAAAATAGCAGCTTAATGCTGCTGTGTTTCGTATGGTGAGTGTAGAGAACCGGAGACCCTTTTGACTGGAAAAGAAGCATTCTATAGTAATCGTCACACCTGACAACGCATCTGCATTTTGAATCGCAAGCGACGATAGATGTAGATGTCTATGGGCCACAGCAACTACTTACCATGTAGTGGACTTAGTGCTCGATTGTCATCCTTATCCTATAAAAAAAATAACACTGACTTTTTTAACGTGATTAAGAATACACTTTTATTATTTGTAGTGAGTTAAGTTTTTATTTCACTTTATTTCGTATTTGTCTAAAACTATAACTGGCATAAATGAAAATACAATTGCATGGCATTTTTACGTGCCAGCTACCCGCCCGCACGATCCATAGTTTTGACACAGTTTTTGTTCTAAATTGCCGGTCTAGTACCTAGTTTACGTATAAGTTGAAAAACACACGTGACAACGTGCATTCTATTGCTATCTCACTCAACTCGATTAGACGTGTCTATCACTCAAAATCTATTTAAAAAAAAGAAGATTAGACGAATAATTGTTTATGACTTTAAAGTATAAAATAATATTGTTATACTAGGTGTCTCAAAAGTAAGTTCACATTTGCTTATCTTATTACGCGAAAGCAACTATTCTGAGGGGCGCGGGGGGGTATGTCAGTCGGTAGTCTGGCTCTTGGGAATTTAGTCGCTATGGAGCATTTCTCTGGTGCGGACCGTGCGTTGTGCGTACGTGAGTTTTACAAAAACGGTAATTCGGCGACTGTAGCGCGTAGAAAATTCTGCAGTATTCGACATATTCGTCACTTAAATGATGCGCCTAGCACTCGTCTCATTGCAAAATGGGTTGAGAAGTTTGAAGAGACTGGGTCAACTCTGGAGAAACCAAAATCTGGGCGACCAAGAACATCAAGAACAGCCGAAAACGTGGACAGTGTTACTCAGTCTATTCGAGATGATCCAAACCTCTCGATTCGGAAGCGTGCTGTTGCTTTAAATGTGCACAGATCTTCATTATGCCGCATTTTACACAAAGATTTAAAGCTGCACCCGTACAAAATTCAGTTAGTGCAAGAACTGAAGCCTCAAGATGCTGGTCAGAGGCTTGCCTTTGTAAATCAGATGATTGAGCGCTTTCCAACGTTCACCAACATCTTGTTTTCCGATGAAGCCCATTTTCACCTGAATGGGCATGTAAACAAGCAAAATTGTCGTTACTGGAGTGCAACCAACCCAAAACAAAAACATCAGAAACCGCTACATTCACCCAAAGTCACCGTATGGGCAGCGATGTCGGCGCGAGGAATTATCGGCCCTTACTTTTTTGAAGATGGAAGGGGACGCACACTCACAGTGAATTCAGAGCGTTATGTGGAGATGTTAGACGAGTTTTTCGTACCCCAACTACAAAACTTTCCTGGTTACAACCAAAGAACATGGTTCCAGCAGGATGGAGCAACTTCACACACGTCCAACAGATCTCTGCCTCGAGTTCGAGAAATTTTTCCGAACAAATTAATCTCCTGGCGAGGTGACATAAATTGGCCTCCACGGAGTCCCGATTTAACGCCTATGGATTTTTTCCTGTGGGGTTATGTCAAATCAAAAGTTTACGCTAATAAACCGACTTCCCTGGCACAATTAAAAGAAAATATCCGTCATGAAATGGCAGCCATCACGGAGACTACCTGCCGAGCTGTCATAGGCAATTTTAGTGCCCGACTAAATGAATGCCGAGAGCGCAACGGTTTACATTTGGACAATGTTATTTTTAAAAAATAAATTCCCAAACAGTGTACTTCAATATAAAATAAACATTTTTTCAATAAAGCTAAGACTTTTCTTTTAAAAAAAGATTTAAATGTGAACTTTCTTTTGAGACACCTTGTAGTATAGTGCTTATATCATATTCTTGACTTTCAATGAACTTGCTATAACACTTATTTTCTTTTAATTTACAGACTACGAGCAGGAAGAGATCCTAACGTACGAAGAAGTAGCATTATACTATCCTCGTGCGTCACACAAACGTCCCATAGTTCTAATCGGGCCGCCCAATATCGGCCGACACGAATTAAGGCAGCGATTGATGGAGGACAGCTCGAGATTCGCTGCGGCTGTTCCCCGTTAGTATTTAAAGAAAACTTTACCTACCTCAATGTACCATGTTTTACCTATTTCTCAATTTTAATTTAACTTTTATTTCTTTTAGACACGTCCCGACCGCGAAAAGATCACGAAGTGCCCGGTCAGGACTACCACTTCATATCGCGCACGCAGTTTGAGGCTGACATACTTAACAGAAAGTTTGTGGAGCACGGGGAATACGAAAAAGCATATTATGGTAATTATAAATCAAATTTTTTAGTACTATTTTAACCCATTAAAAAAAGCAAGTTTATTTATTTATTTGCAAGGCAACAACAGCATACATATTAACAAAATTTTAAAACATTATAGATAATATAATGTTTTGATATCAGAACATTATAATATCTATAATATCATCTATAAATTTTAAATGGCATACATATGTATGCCATTTAAAGTTACATACAACAACTTACAACGTTCGTCTGCAATACTTAATATCACTAAAGCTTTGGTAGTAAAATCAAACAATGGAAAACAAAATACCACAACATTAAAAAGATAAATTGAATTATAAATCTATACAATAAAAATTAAAACATAAAAGATTACTGAAGTTTTTTTTCTATTCTATATATCTAGTCTATTTTTTAATGTGTGCAATATCTTAACTACAGTATTCTTTCACAACAATCCTCTAAAGCTTTATGGGTCTAGATACAATAGTTATTAGCATCTGTTATTTTCATAGTTATATAATCATATTGCCATGGGTTTTATGGGTAAAATATTTCCATTATTTAACTGTATCTGTAGTGTTGACAGACTTTACGTACTGATGTATGAGTAAAATATTTATTACATTTACGTAAAGCAATATAATCAGTCTGTAGCGATTTCCGCAAGGAGACATATTAGGACCTATTGCTTTATAAATTACATTGTAAATATCTTCTTAATATTCTAATGTATGGACGAATAACAAAAAGTTATTATTTTTAATCATTTTTAAACGGATTTAGAAACCTTAATATTTTATAATATGTATTGATTAATAATTAATGTTTGATGGAAAGGTCCATAATAAAAAAAATCACATCACTTAATAATTTATTACCACACTTACGGTACATTAATAGATACATACGCTAACTTGTATAATTCTAAAATTACCCTAATCATAAAAGGATTTATAGAAAAAATAATATAAATAAACTAAAACGCCCCAAAAGCATTTATTGATATTCATGATTTTAACTTCCAGGAACATCCCTTGAAGCGATCCGGGAGGTTGTGAACTCTGGCAAGATTTGTGTATTGAACTTACATCCGCAATCGTTGCGGATCCTGCGCAACTCGGACCTGAAGCCGTACACGGTGTTCGTGGCGCCGCCAAGCTTAGAGAAGCTGAGGCAGAAAAAGATACGCAATGGCGAGGCTTTTAAGGTAAAATGACTGTGTAGCAGTAGGATTTTGTTGTGAGAGCGTTTTATATATTTGACTAGCATACATACCCGAAACATGTATTTGTAAACTGTGCAAATACTTTTCCTGTATGGAAATATACCGTGTAGTGGCGGTTACATACTCAACCGACCGTGCAGTGGAGTCGTTCGAATATACACTATTCATATCGTCCCGTGAGTGTCGTAGGAGGCGACAAAAGGAAATATACCTGGAGATGGGCATTATCATTAGCATCTTCCTAATTACTACTAAAAACAAACTGCTGTTGCCAATCCGCCTGCCAAGCGTAGCAACTATGGCAAATATCCGCCTATGAGACAATCTATGGGAAAGGCCTTTGTTCAGCAGTGGACTTTGATAGGCTGTCACGGTAACGGGAAACAAACCCGCGAACTGCAGCGCCACCTCCAAAAAGTTTTCGACACTGACACTGCGCTACCTAGGCGTGATTTTTTTTTTAATAGACGGTGAGAAATTTTCTTATGCTTACCATTTTTCACCCTCAGTCCAAAAATTCCGCTGTTATACATGTGGCCTGTTTCATTTTAGAGATAAATTTTCTTATTCTAAGTGTAGATTCCGAATTTTCGTTTCGTGTTTTTAAAATAAAGATTTGGTATAATATTGACTTTCAATGAGCTAAATGTTATAATTTCTTAATATGTACGTATTGTAATAATGATTATAATTTAGTACGTGGTAGAACTATGTTACATTTCACATGTGCTGCACATCCATTCGTAAGCTATAACATACAAGCTGCATTCAAGCTTTCTAAATAGTAAGGTACGGAAAATTGGCTAAATTAATGGAGTACTTTATCTATCAGCATATTATGTTCGTTATAGAGCAAAGGTAAATTTTATCTATCCTTCCTCCCACTCCCGGATGAGAGTCAACCGCCCCTTCCCCCACCCAGTGTCCCGAAGCGCTGTTTTTTTTCAGATTTAAGAAAAATCGTACAACCTGAAAATTGTGTAGGTGTGTACCCTTGATAAATTTGCTATCAAACTCTCATACGTATAAAGGCGTGTATAACTTATAGTTTACGCGCAAACTGCGACGAATATTTTTATCATTTGTCGATTTTTTTTTGCTCAAGGTTTAGTTTTCTCAAAAATTCCCCACTTTACCGCCTAAATATGTATGACTAAAGTAAAGAATAAAATCTCTCCTAAGAAAAGTATCCTATAGAGTACCGAGAGTATAGCCTTCAAACAAAACGGGGCACTTTAAGGGGAAATAGTAAAAATACTACCTCAAATAGCTTAGCAAGATCCTCCGTTATACCAAAAATATTGTAGCCTTAATTTTGAAATAAATATACGGTAAAGTTAAGGATTAACGTTAAGTACTATGTTAGACGGAAACACGATTCCGTAAAATTTTCTCGATAGAAAAAAAATCCAAAGTTACCTCCAAACTAAACAATAAACCGCTGGTATTCATAAAATACTTTAAAATAGATCGTGAAACTTTGCGTACCAACTGAACTAACTATAAAGCAGGGCTTATGTTTTTTTAATTACCGTTATTTTCACTGTAAAAAGAAATTACCTAAACTATCGGCGTCTTGAAGCTTGTTTCCTACCGCCCGATCAATCTAGCTTCTGCTTTCGAACGGGAAAGCTGAGTCGCTTACGATCAGAATACACGTTATGCAATAGAACGACGTAAAATTAAAATGGGAAATAACCGTAATAAAAATAAGAAGCGACTGGGTTGGCGTAAAGAAACAGGCATAAATATGATAAACCTACTGAAATAAGTATCTAACGACCTATCTACTTACAGTATTAGTGATTACAAACATGTTGGTACATAGCATACGACGCGCGGGGAAGTGGCGGCGAAAATAGAATTTGAGTTTGAGTTACTATAGCCCCTTAACATACTTCTGAGCACAACGCTATTAGGTGGCTTTTGGTATCAGTCCATATGTGACATCAATACACAAAGACCAGACTTTTAATGAGGGAAAAAGCTGTCCTAGCGCTAAATACCCACAAAACACTATTAAAACAAGTTTTTTGTGGTTGGCTGAAATGCCCCTCCTCCACCCCTCCTCTGCTTATGTAGTTGCGTCGCTAAGTTCCGTTCAAACTTCCGTTATAAAACTTGCGGAAACGTTCGTTGCTGTTAGTTCGTTGAACGTTCTGTTGCATTACTAATATTATTATCAAGCATGGATTATGGTCTCCAGTATTGTCATCTGCGAGGAACTACTGTTGTTTATCCCTGCAGGTTTCGGGCCTCGGGGTATTCCCCATTACCCGGGTTATCCTCATAGTCCATTTCTATGGACCGGTCTTGGGAGCCGTACATTGTACGACATTGTAGGCAATCTGCTTTGGCGTATTGCGCGCCGCCAGGTAGGTGCTTCCGGAGGGTCAGCAGTCTCGACGCCCCGCGGAGCCCCACAGACAAGGAGTCGATGCAGGGCCAATCCTGCCGACAGGTGTGCACTCCTGATAGCAGCACTCCGGGCCTCCAGTGCTCCTCCCTGGCTCTAGGTTAAGGCCTGGTATGTTCCTAGGCAGAAGTTGGCGTATCTCGCGCCTAAGTTGGCGTATCTCGCGCCTCTGGGAAGGGATCTGCCGAAGGGTCAGTAACCTTAACAGAATACCAGAGATAAATAGCAGCTTAAAACTACTCGTATGTAGTTGTTTATCTTATAACATGATACTTCTTCTTTACTTCATTCTACTTCCTCTTTTTGTCTTTCTTCTGTATCAGCCCGTTGAAGTTAACTGTTGTACATGGACCTCTTTTAATAAAGGGAGAATTTGTCAGGCGGATTTGCTATCGTAGTATAAGACGTTTCGCACCTTCGACGCTACTCCTCATCGCCAGTTTATATATTATTTATCGTCTACAGTTAATGACATGGTTATACTGCCATATTTAAGATGCCATGAGGTCCTATAGTCAACTCTTATGACACTCACGAGACCATACAACACAGCGATATCTTGATTTATTAACTAAATTGTTTTCTTTACAGGAGGAGGAACTAAAAGAAATAATAGCGACAGCCAGAGATATGGAACTCCGATGGGGCCACTTGTTCGATATGATTATAATAAACAACGATACACAACGTGCCTACCAACAGCTTCTAAACGAAATCAACAGTTTAGAAAGGGAGCCCCAATGGGTCCCCGCGCATTGGTTGAAACAGACCTAGCGAGAAATCCCCCTTGCATGCAAAATGCAAAGGCCGAAACGTTTAAAAAATCGATATTCGATAGTAACACGCAAAAATCGAAATGTGATAGACAATATACACGCCAAAATCGATGTTTACAAAACCGCTAAATCGATCATACGACTCGGTATATCGATGCTGACGACGCTCTTTCAAACCGTACAGCAAATGGTTTTACATTTGCTAGCTTACTTTTCAAATGGCAGGAAAACGGAGACTTGTCTGCTGAGCATCAGAGTTCGTAACGATAGGGAAGTGATCAGTGACGGTGATGCGAACTACGAACTGCCTGATGAAATAGAATTTAGTGATGTGTTCCCAACATTCCCTAGTTTGGTTGACCGTAAATATTGGAAATCGAAAAGGGTATTATTGCACAAGTCTAAGAAGTGATTGATGAGGTAGTCTAATAAAAACGGTTAAATTTCCATACATACTAATAGCATTTTTGTATCGAAGATGATTCTACCAAATTATACCAAAATATTTAGTAGTTGGCAACCTGGAAAATTATTAATAGAATCTAGGGAATTAATCAGTGACGATCCGAGTAATAAAATAAAATAAGGTCTTATTTAATTGATGGAGGGCGGGAGGTGCTTTTTAAACTAGGTATGACACACCATTTTTTTAACATCTTTAACTCTAGAAATATTGTATTAAAATCATGGGCTTTAAGGAAAATTATGTACTGTGAAAATTATTCTTACCATTCAGTTTTCTTTATACTCTCTTTCTTTTTGCTCTATCACGATATTTCCTTTTATGGGTATTTATTCAATGACAAGGTGCTGTTATACCTGTGATTTAGTATAAACGTCGATGTTTTTAAAGATATCTACTTTAAAACTAATCCCTCCCAAGTCCCAACACTAAACTAAACTATACTCTCCTCTGTAAAGTCTCCCGTTACAAAATTGCTATTAGTGTGAACTGAGGCCTATAATGGCACTAAACCATCTAGAAAAAAAAGGGTTCTTTCAGGGAATATAATACAGTGCGATGCAATAATAAAACACCGAGGTCTGATTTTTGGGCCAGACATTCTTAGTCTATGGTTATAATATTAGATAGCTGGTTTACATGAAAATAACAATCATACTGCCTTAATCATAAACTGTATTTCTAAATCTGGTTCTATGTCGTTCATTGATAAAATTTATTGGAAAGAAAGCTTAGTATCTTAATTATTTTCTATATCAAGTTGTCCGTTTTTATATCATATTGATTTTGTAACTTATCCTTTTTGAACATAAAACATACACGTAAACTATGACATTTTAACAAAACTATTTTAATACATTTGATGAAACCATTGACTGCATGTTTAGATAATAAATAAGAATAAAAACTATATAATCTTCGAGCTTTTTTCTTATTTCTGAAAATTTTTTGATTGTGATTACCAGACGATAGCAACAAATCTATTAAATGTACTTTGTCAAGTTTTCGTTGTTTGAAGCGTAGGTACCTGTATGAATTGTGTTTCGACGTTAACAATAACCCAAAGGAATTTTATAGTTTGCTAATAAATAAGGAAAAAACTATTATTAACCGTAATATTGTCAAAATTTGTACTGTAGAAATAAAATAGGAAATTTTCAAAAAAAATCATGAGTAGTTAGCCTTTTGTGAATTTCTCAGTGGGAGAATTTCTCTTTCGAGGATAGAAACTTAAATACATTCAAATAAAATTTGTTGAAAACTAATGCGCTATGATAGTGAGTAGAGATGCAATATTTTATAACCATGTAATCACCTTACAATGACATATCCGTTTTATAAGATACCTATTTCAATATGGCCAATTTGAAACTCCTTTTTGTCGAATGTATACCATTAATATATGGACCGAAGTGTTTACCTTTTAACAATTTTCTTCCAGTATACTTGCATGTTTTTGTAACACTGATATTCATGTTAAATAACATGGCTACCTTATAAAACAAATTAAGATATGAAGTAATGGATATTATTATATGACAAATATGTTACTTAAAGCAAACTTTGAATATTTTAAATTGTGCGATTTCGTCAGAAAACTCGAACCTTTTGTATCATTTTGTTGAATTTTAAACTCATCTTTTCGACATTATATTAAAAGTCCATTTGTTATCAAATTTAATAATATTTATAAAGTGTTTCTATTTTGTTTGAAAGATTTTACCAATCGTCGTAGTTTAAATCGACACTGAATTTACTAGCATCGATTACATGTTGCAAAATTATATTATAATAGTGGTTTTAAAAAGTTTATAAAGAAACCTTTTAAAATAATCCATGATTAAAATATTTAATAAATAGTTTCAATACACTTATTATGTATCTAAGTAGATAGAATTGTGCATTCCAAATAATTTAGTGCCAAATACATAAGGCCACAATGTATCGTGTATTGAACACGGTTATATTTCTTTAAAATATCACAATAAATTAAAATGTTTAATTTTATCGTGTATATAGTTTGTTGGCTCGTGACCACTTTGTTGTGCGTGCTGATTTTGGGATATATTGTAATAGTGTTTTTTAAAAATTGATTGTGAAAGCGTTTTATTGTAATATGTAAGTTATGATGTACTTATCTGAGTTAAAATTCAAATGTAGCTTGTGAAGGTGCTGAAATTGTTAACAATTATTTTCTGTATTTCTGTATGATGAGCGCATGAAACACGTTAAATCAATAAAAATATACTTATTGTATTATATAAGTAAGGTGAGCATGGCAACACAATTTCATGCGGGTCGTCATACAAACACGGATTTGTCGGGATTTCACAGTATTGATATTACCTAATTTATAAATAGTCCTGTAAATAACATTAACAATTGAATGAATAATAAATATATTATAAATAATATGTTAATAGAGAACAATTCATTGTAAATAATAGATCTATTAAATTTAATATCAGATAAAATGTAAGTTTTATTTTCTTACCACATCTCAAGTCATTACTGGTCATTACTTCTTCCATAACAAACGTGTTCTTTATGGGATATCGTCAGCACGATTAAGCAATAATGGCATTTCGTTTCAGCTACACGCTTAAATAATTTAAATAAGGAAATATTGAATATCTTCTAAGCTTGGTGATTATTGCAAGTATACGGAAGTATTTTAAAGAAAAATAGAACAAATTATTATAAAAGGATAATATCTTATTATTTGGTACAACCCAAACAACCATACCAGTCCATTATCATAGAAATAAAGGTAAACTTCAGTTTGAGATTGGAGTTTTGGCAGGAACTTGACCGCCAGCGCATTGCTGCTCCTGTTTTATCGTTTAACCCCTCAATCCTCTTAAAATTCCCATGCAGTCGCATGCGTCCGTCAAATCCCGAGCGGTCGCATGCGACTGCACCCACCCACAGCACTTTAAACCATTAAAACTCATATTTCAGGGGTCTAATATCAAAGGCGGCAAAGTCCAATTAAAGTAATTTTACGTGATTTACAAAAAACTGATAATATTTAAAAGATATTATATGTTTACTGTTATGTTATATATTTATATTGAGTGATATTTTGATATCATTCATTTTAAACTGTATTTTACTGATATAACAAGTCAGATAACTAAGATTTATATTGAGTGATATTTTGATATCATTCATTTTAAACTGTATTTTACTGATATAACAAGTCAGATAACTAAGAAACTTAAGTAACGTGATGGACTTTGCCAGATTTGTTAGTAAAGTAAGGACTTAACCATTTTTGCTATGGATGGTAATGGTAAGTCCATATTTGTTAGAATATAATTTAAACGCTTAGCTGTAAAGGTTGTCAAAAAAAATATATAATTGAAATGCTTATTTTACTTTGACAAACCAATAAACTCAAAAAAAAGAAAAAAAAAGTAATCACTTTTAAACTCTCAATGCTGTGCTTTCCGTGCGAGATTCATAATAATTATTTTCTTCGTTGTCTATATTATTAATGTCTCCAATATTTTTATTGATAATATTTTCGTAGTAGCTCAATTCGTTGACATCTTGCCAATCTGATCCATAATGTTTGTAAGTAAAGTAGGTACATCATGAATGTTCTGTGGTTTAATTGTGACACCCAGCGAAATTTCACGTGGTGTAATCATCATAACATTGTTTCCTCGGCGACACACACTACGAAGGGCACCTAAATCACTTTTATATAATACTTCACCTTGTACTAATGTTTTTTTTATAGAAGAGGGGCCAAACAAGCATGCGCCTCACCTGATGTTAAGTGACTACCGCCGCCCATGATCAACTGTAACACCAAGGGAATTGCAGGTGCGTTGCCGGCCTTTTAGAAAGGAGTAAGCTCTTTTCTTGAAAGTCCCCAGGTCGTATCGGTTTGGAAAAATCTGGTGGACCGCCAAACAATCCAGATGGTGTGGATGGTATCGGGACGTTTGCCGCGTAGTGCGTTCACGAAATTTGGCGGCTGGGATTAATCCGAACAATTCCTCAGAGCACTCTCCATGGTATATGCGAAAGAAAATGCAAAGGGGTCTCTTCGCAGTGCCAGTGAATCGAGCCGATCGGAAAGCACTCGGTCGTCGACGATTCGAGCCGCTCTGCGCTGGATGCGGTCAAGTGAAAGGAGCTGGTACTGGGGAGCCCAGCCCCAGCCAGAGATGGGAACAGTATTCCATGTGCGGCCGAACCTGCACCTTATCAAGGTCGCAGGCGGTGTGCCGGCATGAAATACTGTCCCGCTCTGCTGAGCACGCCAAGCTTTTTAGAGGTCAATTTGGCCTTCTCTTCCAAGTGACCACGAAACTGCACGTCACTCCATATGTCGACGCCGAGGATTCCGATACTGGCTGAGGCAACAAGGGAGTGCCTTGAAACTGAGGAGATACGACAAAGGGGTTCTTTTTACCGGTTCACGCGCAAACTTGTGTCTTCTGGGGCTTAAACTGGACTAGAATTAGTCGTCCCTAATCCGAGACTCTGTTCAGCAAAGACTCAACTTCAGACACAAGTTTGTCCCGGCACTCGGAGACGTTTTCCTGAGAAATATTGGCTCGGCCGGTGTAAAGAGCATCACTAGTGCTGTCATCTGCATAGCAATGAATGTTACGGGCTTGCAACATATCACTGATATGCAGAAGAAACAGCGTTGGCGATAGCACGCAGCCTTGTGGAACACCAGCATTAATAGCCTTGTAATCGGAGCTTGCACCGTCTACAACGACCTTGATGCTTCGATCTGCAAGAAAGCTGGTGATCCAATCGCACAATTTCTCGAAGCCTTCTTTCGAAGAAAGCTTCGAAAGAAGCGCTTCGTGCCAAACCCGATCGAAGGCCTTCGCAATGTCCAAACTAATGGCCAATGCCTCCCCCTTGGACTCTACTGCCTCCGCCCATCTGTGAGTTAGGTAGACCAGAAGATCACCAGCTGACCGACCACGGCGAAAACCGTATTGGCGGTCAGTAATCAGCTGGTGATCCTCAAGGTACCTCATGAGCTGGCAGTTTACAATGGGTTGTTTTGGAGAACAAGGAGGTGATGGCGATAGGCTGGTAGTTGCGCGGGTCTGAGCGGTCGCCTTTTTTAGGGATCGGGTGGACGAAAGCCGTCTTCCATGATTTTGGTACTACGCCTAGGGAGTAGGAGTACCGGAAAAGACGCGTTAAAACCAGTGCTAACTCTGGAGCACATGTCCTCAGCACAATTGGGGGGGATTCCGTCAGGCCCACTCGACTTGTGGATGTCCAGGAAGAGGAGTGCTTTGCGAACCGAGCGCTGTGTGAACTGCACTTCCGGCATGGAGCACTCACACCGCTAGATGGTCGGCGGCGTACTCCCCCCGTCAAGAAAGAGCCTAGAAGATCGGCATTCTCCTTTGCGGTATGGGCCAGTGAGTCGTCCTCCCTGTGCAGAGATGGAAGAGATGGCTGACAGAAATTCCCCTGGATGGCCTTGGCGAGAGACCAGAATGCACGGGTTCCAGAAGGAAGGCGAACTAGTTTCTCGCCAATTCTGCCAATGTGCTCTGACTTTGTCTTGGCAATGACTCTTTTGAAGGACCTGGAGGCGGAATTATACTTCTTTTTTAGAGCGCTGGTGTTTACATTCTGATGATGCGTTAGCTCAGGCTTGGTAGCACTCCTGCTTATAGCATGATGCTATTTTACTGGAGTGACAAAACCATCGCTGAGATTTGCCTCCAACGGGCACTACAGAGGAAGGAATAAAAGTTCCATACCCTGAAGTACTAAAGGGGAGGAGCCTAAAGGGGCGTTGACGGAAATCTGATATCCGTCCGGGTGAGAGGTCAGCAGAAGGTCCAACATGGAAGGTGCATGATCCTCCACATCTGGAATCCGCGTAGGCGAAGTAACCAGTTGTGTCAGACCATATGCCAAGGCAAAATCATGAACAGATCTCCCCGCATGATCGGTTAAACCTGAACCAAGCCATTCGGCGTGATGGGCGTTAAAGTCGCCGAGGATCACGATCTCTGCGGAGGGGATCTGCTGTAGCAACGAATCTGTAGCCATCTGGACGTGGTCGAAGAGTCGGTCTGTTTCGGCATTACCGCTATGGGATCTATAGAGGCACCCGTAGACGCGCGGATGGTCGTCGCTGTCTACGCGTAGCCAAAGGATGGACAGGTCCGAACCTTCAAGTCTGCCGAGGCGTCGAGAACAGATGCTCTCTCTGACGTAAACACAAAGGAGTGTTCCAGTTTGTACCCCGGGTAAGAGAGATACGAGACATCAGCCGGAGAGGACACCTGCGTCTCGGTCAGAAAGAGCAGAGCCGGCCTCGCCGTCTCGAGGTGGTAGTGGACGGCGTTTAGGTTAGAGTGATGTCCCCTGATATTGCAGAAATTCACGGACAGCGTGGTAGGGGTCGCCTTGGTCTTGTTGCTCCGTTTGCCGCGAGCAGTTGTAGTCTTGAGCGGAATTTCCCCCCCAGAATACGCGGGGCAGCCTGAGCACCCACGCTCAGAAGTGGAGGTACATGGTCGTGGATGCTCAGCGAGGGATTCTCCAGGGGTGTTGGTACCCTCCTGGGGTAGTCTATCATCATTTAATTTCGCTACCATGTTGATGGTGGGGGGGGGAGGGTTTGGGCCGCCGGCCACCCGAACTCACCAGACGAAACGCGGATGCAGAGCTTCCGCGTCACGCCAGTATTCTGTGCGGTCGTGGTACCACGTGGCTCTACCACTGTTAAAATTTTTGTTGTGTTTTGTAAGTGTCTGTGCGGGATCGTTTAATTATTATACGTTTGGATTCCATTAATTTAAAATGCCACTGACCTGGATGTTTCAGTATTTTCTCCACAGCACCTTTCCAATCGAGCACTTGGCAATCATTATTACCCATGAGTATTAATGTAGCATAATTTGCAATGATGTTATGATACTCTTGTAGTTGAATGATTACTTCTTTTTTTTTTTGATCTCGCGTTCTATATGACCAAAAACTCTATCTGACGGCAGGTACGAATGACCCGTGATGGGGAAGTATATTTCTATTTTTTTTATATTCGGTGGTAAAAGTAGCCACTTACAACACACTCCAATAAGAATTATATTTTTATTTTGACCTCCGCAGCCGTCGGAAATCAATCTTACTGTGTAGATGTTCGTTATATCTGTAGCATTAAGCCGATGGTACAGTGCAGAAGCCACTGTATTTGAATCTTTTGAATATTGCTCTTCACCCCATACATACGAGAATACATTTTCTTTGGTTAAATTATCCTTTGAGCTACCTTGTAAGACGGTCAAATTATAAATATAAAATTGTCTGCTATAACTAGTAAAAAATAAAGTAACTCCTGCAGGCTTTGATTTTAAAACATCATAAAAAGCTTTTGCTCGAAGAGAATGAACTTGTTTTGAAGTCATCAGTTTCGTTTTTTTAGCGATATCAGTCTCAACCTTTACTCTTTCTTGAAACTGTAGGCATGTTGAGCAAATATCACTTTTAAGTGATCCAAAAGATTGAACTCGGTATTAAATACCTTTCGGAAAAGTGCTTTCGAAGCAATAGGCTGAATATTCCGTTCTTTGTACATCTTAGGCCCGGTTCCCACTAGGCCGGACCGGCAGATCTGCCGGAAACCGGACACCGGACAGAGTGTTCACATTACATCGGATCCCGGAAGAAATTCAGACAGTCAAGTACATCTCAGTTGAATTTGGACCTGCGCGCACAATGGACGACGAAATTGTTGTGTTGTGGTGGTATCTTAATAGAAGGCAAAATAAAAGAAAACATTGGGTACACCCTATTTTACGGGAAAGATTTTCACTTGGAACATTTGAAACATTAATGGGTGAACTTAGAAGAGACGAATCAAAGTTCTTCAATTATTTTCGAATGACAGCAACCACTTTTGACGATTTACTGGGACGACTAGACATAAGAGTACGAGATACAAGTTTCAGAGAATGTATTTGCCCAGAACAAAGATTAGCCATATGTCTAAGGTAAGATTATTTTATGCACTAGATTGCGTAATAATAGTTTTGACGTAGGTACCTACTTAAGACTGAATGAATGAATGTTTGCTATATATGTTTGTTTGATGAATGTGAATATATAAAATGTGTGTGTGTGAGAGGGTGTATGTACTTGATAATCATTATGAATTAAAAATGCAAATAACTTATTTAAGTATTTATTTGTACTCAAACTTAAATCCCTTCAAAATCAAAGTAATTTGAGTCTTGGGAATGTATGGAATGATTACTAGATGCTGATGGCGAAGCTGGAATCGGATTCGATGTCTGAGATGAAGTTGATGGTATAGATGTTGTTGCCTGTTGATTGACGCTATTATGTGTGTAGTATCCAGAATACTGATCTGGTCCGGTCATCTGATTATATGAACCACGCCAATGTCCGTAATTTGGTCTCTCATAGTTCCTACTTTTAATTTTTTGCAACATTGTCATGACGCTAGCTTGAAATTCTAAAGTCTCTTCGATAGTTAAAGTGTTCAAGATTGGTATAATGCCTTTGAAGAAAGACAGATGATGGTTTTCCTTTTCTGGGTTTATTCTGGAGTCCAAAAACTTTACCATCCTGTCATTTACCACTTTATTATCAATTTTTCTTTTATCTTTAATTAAAGGTGAACGAAAATTTGATTCCATGCCTACTTCAGTCTCAGTTCTTGCTTTTTTTGAAACTGACTCATGTGGTGGTCGAGGTTCGGAGACTTTTTTCAAAAACATTAATTGCTCGTGATATAAAAAATTTCGTGTCTTTTTGGCCGAAGATCCAGATTTAGACTCATCTTTTTTTTTCTTTACTGTCTTAAGCCACGAATCTCTTATATTACTCCATTTAGTTGAAACCTGTGTTCCTGAAACCAATAAAAAAATATCATAAAACAATACAATTTGTTTCTTGGTGATGTATAAAGTAATAATATATTAACAAAAAATAGTTTTTTTTTTCAGATATTTAGCTTCAGGATGTTCATTCAAAGAAATACATTTACAGAGTAGGCGTTTCGACAATAAGTAAACTAATAAAAGAAATGACCCATGTCATTTGGGAAAACCTAAAGACGGATTTCCTTAAGCTACCTGATACTGAGAGAGAATGGGAGGACATCGCTTCAGGATTCGAAAGAAAAGCCAACTTTCCTCACTGTCTTGGAGCAGTAGATGGCAAACATATCAGAATTTTGAAACCAGCCAAGAGTGGTTCTATGTTCTTTAATTACAAGGAGTATTATTCTTTTGTATTAATGGCAGTTGTCAATTCAGAGTACCAATTTATTTTTATTAGAGTGGGCTCATATGGCAAGGAATGCGATTCTACTATATTAAAGGATAGTACATTTTGGCAAAAGATCAATGATGGTACTTTAAATGTACCAAAGCCTAGACCGCTTCATGAAAACTTGCACGAAGAATTACCGTTTATACTTGTTGGCGATGAAGGTTTTGCTACACCACCTAATCTCCTACGTCCATATGGAGGTACACATTTGAATACTGATAAAAAGATTTTTAACTATAGACTAAGTCGAGCAAGAAGGTATGTTGAGTGCGCTTTTGGTATTCTGGCAAATAAGTGGCGAATAATCCATCGAGCTATAGATCTGAACGTAGACACAGCAATTCAAGTAATTAAAGCTTGAACAGTCCTACATAATTTTGTAAGAGAAAAAGATGGTATAAATTTTGAAAGTTACCAAAATATAGAACATAGACAAGAACAAGAAACGACACCCATGGATCGGAATGTGTCGAGTCGAGGTGGCCCTAATGCCAACGCTATACGGACATCATTTACTAATTATTTTGTTTCGGATATTGGTTCCGTTCCGTAGCAGGCAGCAGCTATAAAATAAAATTTATCAATGCATTTACATTTTATCAATAAAACATTAAAAACTCACCGTACTGTTTTCTTTCTTTTTCATCCAGTTCATCGAAGTTTGGTTTCAGTATTAAATATACTTCACGCTATGCTGCTAACTTTAAGTTTTTGTCTTTATAGATGTCTTCGGTCTTATCCCACAGAACAGGTCTCTCTTGGACAAGCGTAATTAAAGTTTCTGCTTGAATATCCATGCTAAACGTCTACTTTTACCAGAAAATGCGAGCCGAATGACGTGAGTGGAACACGGGCGGCGCGAGGGGAGCACGAGCGGGGCGAGCGGGGGACAGATACCGGCACAAACTCGTTCACATTACTCCGGGCCCGGTCGTTCTACCGGCAATTTGTAGTGACAAAACGCTCAGTAAAAATGCCGGGTTCGGCAAATATGCCGGACCCGGGATAATGTGAATAGCACAGTAGAAATACATATAAATTGTACAGCCACTAGCCCTTCCGGCAGATTTACCGGTGCAACAGATCTGCCGGTCCGGCGTAGTGGGAACCGGGCCTTATACAGCTTACTAATATTTAATTCTGCGGGTAAATAATGACGAACAAATGTGGTACCACGGCAGTATTGTGGTTCTGACCAATTTAATGACTGAATAAAATCTTTTATCCCTTGTCTTCTTTCTATAAACTTGGGGCTTTTATGATCACCACCTCGCTTCTTTATAGGACACTCTCCTGTCTCGAAATGTTTTCTTATTACACTTAAGGGGAAATATAATGTCAAATGGCTTAGCAAGATCCTTCGTTATGCCGAAAATATTGCAGCATTAATTTTGAAATAAATATATGGTAAAGTTGAGGATTAATGTTAATGATTATGTTAGACGAAAACACGATTTCGTAAAATTTTCTCGATAGAAAAAAAAATCCAAAGTTACCTCCAAAATAAACAATAAACCGCTGTTATATATAAAATACTTTAAATAAGATCATGAAACTTTGCATACTAACTGAACTAACTATAAAGCAGTGCTTATGTTATTTACTTTTTTTTACATACCATTATTTTCACTGTAAAAAGAAATTACCTAAACTATCGGCGTCTTGAGCTTGATTCCTGTCGCCCGTTAGTATCGCTTAGGCTTTTGAAGGGAGAAGTTGTGTCGCTTACGATCAGAATATACATTACGCAACAGTACGACGTAAAATTAAAATGGGAAATAACCGTGATAAAAATAAGAAGCGGCTGGCTTGGCGTTAAGAAACAGGCATAAATATGATAAACCTAATGAAATAAGTGTCTAACGACCTTTCTACTTACAGTATTAGTGATTACAAACATATCGGTACATAGCATACGACGCGCGGGGAAGTGGGGGCGAAATTAGAATTTGAGCTGACTTACTCTATCCTCTTAATATTCTGTTTTTAATATTTAAATAATTTAAGAAAACCTTTCGACATACAAGCAAAGGTTTATTATTTGCAGGTATGTAAAACTTAGTAGTAAAAGTTTTCGGCTTATATTTTAAAATAAGGGTGTCTTGTGCTTGTTTCGTCGCTGTTTTTTAAAACGCTGCATGAAATTTCATGGTATCATTCATGGTCAAAAAACTGCACTGAAATCCCTTCTTATGGGTGCAAATAATTCGAGCGGGCAACATGGACGATTCATATCTAAAAAGAAAAATAGTTATTTGTATGTAACATTCAAGTTATCGAGTTTTATCAACTCGACTTTATTTTGTCCAACTATAAACGTAGGTAGCCTAATACTGTTTCTGCGTCTAAGAATATGTTCGTGGAAAGTTTCAGCTCAATGGAATGAGTAGTTACGCTGTAAAGAAGTAACAAACATCCATACATCCACCAAGCTTTCGCACTTATAATATGTATTAGTATGATAGGCACAATATTATTATACATAAAGGATAAAACCCAAAATGTATTAATTATTATTATTATTACATTAGTATATAATTATTAGTAAATTTATTAATTGTAGAGGAAAATATATTTTTAAATATTATAAATGTATATAAAATAATAATATTATAAATGTATTAGGAATAGATTTAATAAAAAAATTATAGTTATGATTTTGTAGTGCACTTGAAAAATTAATTTGAGAGTACAACCCTATAAGCCTCATTTACATTCAGCCCCTGCCACTGATCCTTGCGCTGCCGTTAATACTTCGCTAAATACTGCCGTAGCAGGATCGCGGGAAGTGTGTATTTACCACAGAACACTATTACTCCTATCGGGTATTTACACTCTGCCCTACCACTCACATCACCATCTCTAGTATATAGTCAGTAATCTGTGCACATCACTTTCGGCTTTCGACTATGGCAGACGTCGAAATAATTACAGCTTCCGCGCTGTGTCTTCTTGCAATACAAAGTTATATTAATAATTTAAAAAGATATCACGTTCAAAAGAAGATAGATAGATAGATAGAAAATTTATTTGCTTAAAAACATGGTACATAAGATGATCAATGACGTGGAACTGACATGTTTTGCCATAATTGGCATACAAAAATGATATGAAATTCAGCTAATTACACAAACCCAATGTTACATTTTAAAATTATTGCATTGCTTAAAAGTTAGGTACAAACATTCTTTTTGTATTCAACTATTATGTACAATTAAATACTTATACAGATCCACTCTATTTGAATTCCTATACAGTAAATTGTTCATAAATTTTAATTGAATTATTACATTATTGTTACATAAATAATATTAAATATTATATGAGATTAGTTAAGCTATTATTATTTTAATAATTACACTACAGTTTAAATTAATTCACAATTTTAATTACAATAAAATTATAATTTAAAAATCTCAGGCCATTATGCAAATATTACCATTTAACTTATTTTACATTTTTATAAATAAATAATCAATATGAGTTACTAATCGTTTTTAGAAATAAAATGTCAACGTTCATTAATTCCTTAAACTAAATTTTATATTAATATAATAAAGGAGGATGGCCAAATGTCTATAGGAGCTGGACTTGACTTTTTTTCATGTCCCAAAACAAACTATAGTTAGATTGGTTTGTTTTTATGTTGTAAATACAATCACGTTTAAAAATAATATCTAAATAGCCACGATTTTTTATAATAACGTCAACAATATTTTTAAGGCTGAATCAACAAATACCTTTTACTTTTACTTTTTTTATTTATTGATCATTTCGTATAACACCGGTATGTCAAAACACACAGTACCTTTGTATAAACTGAAAAGTCAAAATTACAATCAATTCAAATGATATTCGTATTAGATTACATTAGATTATTAAAATTACAAATTAAAATACATCTACATTTACATGTCAAGCAAGTCAGAAAATGAACATTTCATATATTCTTCTATATTATAGAAAGCGTGATTCAAAAAGTAGTATGTTATTGTCACTTGTCGAAACGCGTTTAATGGAAGTATTGTTATTTCTAAAGGCAATTCACTGTACATTTCGATTTTTAACGAAAAACCTTGCTTGGATGCTTTATCCGACTGCGATGTTGCCTAAAAGTGTAGTTAGCGATAAGTGAGGAGGATAATTAGCGATCTCGTTTCCCCTTTATTTAGATTTCTCTAAAATACTTTTATTATCCAATAATAGAACATCTCTCAAAGCGCATCTTACGTATATGCATCATACTCCTAGAGTTCGATGTCAAAAGGGGCCGTCTGTCAAACAGTCTCGTGAAGTTGACAGTTTCGACGACAAATTATGACCGATAATTCAATAAAAACTACACCTACATATATTGCACTAGCTTGCACAGTATGTAGCGTAAAAAACAGCGTAATTATTATCACACGAAGTCTTTCCTGAAAGATTTCAAGGCTTTTTTGTA